CCAATAGTTTTATTTATATCAAATAAAATTCAAATATTTGGGGCTTCTCTTAGCATAAACCAGTTAGTTTATTACAATTTGCATCTCAAAAAACTGTGTGAGTTATGTCTTGGGTTTTAGAAAGGAGGATTATATTTAATATTTTAACATTATATACAATTAAAAAAATTCCAGACCATCTTCATGATTTATTGAAAAGGACTGGTTGGATTTAATTCTTCGTAATTGGCTTATTCTGGGGAATGCTAAGAGCCAATTTATGCTTTCCCCTAGTGAATTTTTGAAACAAGAAATCAGCTCAGACAGAAGAGCTTCCAAGCATGCAAGATACCATGAATACATATATTTAGTATAGGGAAAAGTTGATGGTTTCATGGGACCAAAGAAGCGTTAAAAATGTTTTCATGCAAATAATACGATTTTTTAAATAGTTTGGCTATGTTTTAAATTAGTATCGTACGGTTGTGCTTTGTGGGTTTTGGTTTTTTTGTGTGTGTGTGGTCAACTATTTCAGCTAAACAAATACAAAAACTAAATCTGAAGCATCTAATTGTTTATATTTTTGGGCCCCTGTTAGGACCCAGTTGCCATGTCCTATTTGGTGAATAGGTCTTTCATCTACAACTACTGAGAACATGGACATGATGGAATAATGCTTGAGTTGGAGAAGAAAACCAGTGCATTGAAAGACAAACTAGCAGAAAGTGATCTAATGAATGTTGTTAAGTTAGTAGCTTTCCAATTTGTGTGAGGGTGAAGCGAGTAAGACCAGGGAAGAAACTATCGTATCAAGCTGAAAACTTTCTGCTTACTGTGCTTAGTACTTCTCGATGACCTTTTGACTTGAATGCTCTCTAGGAAATGGCTTTAGGAACTTTCCTGATTTCAAACATGCTGTGTTGTCGACATGAGCATCTTTTTCTTGGTTGTCCAGGACAAAATTTTAGAAGTTTGTTTGTTGTTGTTGTTTTTCTTTAGCCTGTCAAATACTGAAACCCTGGCAGGTTGAAAAACGCTAGTCCTAATGCTGACAATTTTTTTTAAATTCTATGTTTTTGTTTGGAAGGCTGTACATATATTTTGTAATGGATGGATTAATGATTACTAGAACTTGTTTTACCTGTGACGTGCAAAAACCAGTATCTTTTTAACAATCCATCTATGGTTTTCACTGAGAAAATGAACAGACCTGACATGTGAAAAGTATATAGAATCATAGAATCATTCAGGTTGGAAAAGACCTTTAAGATCATAAAGTCCACCCGTTAACCCAGCACTGCCAAGTCCACCACTAAACCATGTCCCTAAGCACCACGTCTACACGTCTTTTAAATATCTCCAGGGACGGTGACTCAACCACTTCCCTGGGCAGCCTGTTCCAGTGCTTGACAACCCTTTTGGTGAAGAAATTTTTCCTCATGTGACACCCACCGCTACAACCTCCTTTCAGGGAGTTGTAGAGAGTGAGAAGGTCTCCCCTGAGCCTCTTTTCTCCAGGCTGAACAACCCCAGTTCCCTCAGCCACTCCTCATCAGACTTCTGCTCTAGATCCTTCACCAGCTTCTGTGTTGCTCTTCTCTGGACACGCTCCAGCACCTCAATGTCTTTCTTGTAGTGAGGGGCCCAAAACTGAACACAGTATTCGAGGTGCGGCCTCACCAGCGCCGAGTACAGGGACACGATCACTTCCCTACTCCTGCTGGCCACGCTATTTCTGATACAAGCCAGGATGCCATTGGCCTTCTTGGCCACTTGGGCACACTGCTGGCTCATATTCAGCTGGCTGTCGACCACTGCAAAGGATGTAGACATGTGCACCTTATTAATAAGGACAAATGTTTTTCCTACGCGCTTATTGATGAGCAAAAAGGTCTTTGTTATTTTTTTGTTTTCGTGTTTCCCCTTTTTGATAAGTGAGAAAAATTTTGGAAAATTTAGGATTATATCTGAAAAGATAAATCAAATGGTAATGCAGAAACCAGTACTCAGTATTTGCAGATAATCATGAAAGTTTGGAACTTTTTCTCCAAATACTGCTACCTTTGGTTCTGCTCCACTGGTGGGGTTAGGAACATCAGTATATAGTGGTTCGTTACTGACACAACCGATGGAATTAAACAATGTCTTGCTTTGAAGACTTTGAACCATCTCTTATGTCATCTTGTTTTTTCTCAAATTTGCTTTAAGTATTAACTTTGGAGGGCTCTGGACATACTTGCTTCTATTCAACTTTAACATTCTCTATTTCATACAAATGTATACCTTTCTAAATTCTTTGGCAAGAGCTAGGGCTTTGTTTTTCCAAATAACTTCTGGAAAGTCATACTGGACAGAACAAAGTGTGGCTTTGTGTCATTGTTTTCAATAGCTAAATGGAGTGTAGCATAAAATGCTTTTATTTTATGAAATGTTCAATGAAGATGACAAAGTATTCTAATACAGTAGAGTAACATGGGCAGTTTAATTTAGAAATTAAAATTAGTTGGTGGTGCAGATGACATCAGACTAGCAAACATTTAAATATCATTACATGCATAGGAATTATTGTTCATGAAGTACCTGACTTCAAAATTTGGCAGTCCCAAGAAATTTCCTCTATAAATTATATAAACTAGGAACAGGTAAATTTTTGAAAAATCGAGTTGTTATATTCAGCATTTCTTCATCCTTATGTGTAATCAATCTGCTGTAGCATCTTGCATTTAAAGCAAATACTTTTATAGAATTTTCATTAAAAAGTGCTAATAGTATGTATCAATAGCTGAATTTCATAATACAGTCCCACTGTTAGTTACCCTTCTATGCAGTAGGTTTGCCATCCACTTTTTGAGCTTATACATGCAACTTTGAAGAAAAATAGCAGAACACTTGTCAGATTTTTCTATTTTCTATATTAGAAACTATAGGTTCATATTCAATGAATAAATATAACACCTGGTACTTTTTAACTGGTGATTTCTTTCATTATTAATTCACTGAATAATGGCTTCTTTTGCTAATATTTCCTGTAGTAGGGAAATTAGTTTGACTGTTAACAATTTGTACTGTAAATCCATCTGTATTGGGAAGCAGCTTCTGTAATTTCCTTAGCTAAGCAGTTACAGAGTTGTTCTAGGCGTTGCGTGCCTTCCCAGCTTGTAAATGATACTCTTAGGGAAAGGAAAATACATGTGCAGGAACTCCGCAGCTTCAGGCCTGAATAAACTACCACAAGCTACTTGGGTGTAATAATAGGGAACAAGCCTACACAAATTACCTAATTTTTCCTTCCTTCTCCAAGCTTCTATATTTAGGCACCCAAATGTTTTCTTAAATAGAAGAAGGGTTGTATTCTCTGATATGTGTCATGTTTCTGAGACAAAATGTAGTAATTTTGTTTTTCTATTTAATCCTATTGTGAGTTATCTGTCAGTGCAGGTAGATGTTAAACCAGAAGTGACATTTCCATTCTAAAACCTAATTTTTCCTTCCTTCTCCAAGCTTCTATATTTAGGCACCCAAATGTTTTCTTAAATAGAAGAAGGGTTGTATTCTCTGATATGTGTCATGTTTCTGAGACAAAATGTAGTAATTTTGTTTTTCTATTTAATCCTATTGTGAGTTATCTGTCAGTGCAGGTAGATGTTAAACCAGAAGTGACATTTCCATTCTAAATCATTTAACGCAACCCTGTTACCTGCAAAATTATGTTCTGGTGAAATGTCTGTCCTAGCTCAACTTTTCAACTATTTAACGTATTTTAAATCTTTCCCCCTCTTAAATAGAATTTACTCTTGGCTTCTGACATACTTGCTGTGCCCACACCCTTCCTGAGCTATCCTTAAGTCTTATATTTGAAGCTCTTCCTTTCTCTTTCCGCAGTAGCTCTTAACCCTGCAGCTCTGTACTCTGCCTGTGAATGCAGTCACAGGGAGGGAAGCACCAATCCTGAAGCGCGTGCGTGTCACCTACAGAATGACTCTCAGGATTCAGCCTTAGCTGAGGGGTCTGTAGGCATAAGACCTTATGAGTCATATATTCTGTTGAGTGTCAGCTTCAGATAATCAACTGCTTTTTGCATGATCATAGCCTGTTTACATAATCTGTTTTTGAAACTGCTTACTTGTTCAGATGAGTAGTTTTTCATTTAGCTGCTTAATTGAAGGAAATATTATCCCTGCAGTTGTTCAGTGCTATACTGTCATCTACTGGCGTAACAGTGTATTTGTCTTGAACTTCACATAAGGTGGGCCACTATAAATGTATTTGAGAGGTTTTTGCCCTGGAGGAATATGTGATTGACTAAAAGTCTTCAGGCTTGCTCTTCTCTCTCTCTCTGTATATTGGGTTTTGTCTTATTCATCCTGGTTTTGTATCAAATATTTAGATGTAAAACCAACTTCTTATCTGTGCAGTCCCTGACCATAGTTACAGAGTTAGGCATCTTTTGTAATTGTTTATTTCAAATGCAAGATTATGTTTTAGTGTTGTTTTTAATTTTATTGTGATGTACAAAACACATTATCCTTCCTCTCCTAAGGCATATCAATTCGGATGAGGATTGGTTATAAATACAATTTTATGTTAAGCATTGTAACATTTGCTTAGCTGCAAAGAGAACTTGTGCTTTAAAGAGATGCCATTTTACTTCTGAGCTCTGTGCATGTGCCAGAGTAATCCCATGTCTGCTCTTCAGCGCAGCCAGCAGTCCTCTGTCCTGTCTAGCTTTCAAAGGTTTGTACTGCTGTAAGAAGAACGTCCTTTTAAATTCTCCACCCGTAGCTAACATCCTGCGATAACAGGGTCAGCTATTGCAAGCAACCCCCATGCTGCTTCATGCAAATGTGTTCTTGTGTGTCTTTGCCATTTCAGTTTAGACTTTAGAAAGAACTAAAGCAGTATTATTTTTTTGCCACAAAAAGCTAGTAAGCAAAAAAACCCAATCAGTGAAGGTTAGTACATCAGAAGTAATACTTTAGATGTCTTGTCCTGGAAGCATTCAGTTGACTAGGTGCCTCTCTAAGGGGTTGGTTTCCTTTACTGCAAGGGTGCACTGCTGACTTGCGTTTAACTAACTTCTTGCTCACCAGGGTGCCCCAATCCTGTTCTGCAAAGCTGCTTCAAGTCAGTTGGCTACCAGCCTCTGATACCTTAACATAAACTTCATTTAGATGAAAGTGTGTCTGTCAGGTCCTTGTCCTTGTCATATGCGATCACAGACTCTTAGGGATTTGCTCATCCTAAGCCAGTTCTTTTTAATAACTGTAGTAATGGTGGGTTTTGCTTGTGGAGGTCCTTAAAGAACTTTTTTTTCCTGAAAGATTTATTAGTGCCCGGGTTATATGTTATGGAAAAGTTTCTCTCCAACTAACAAACATAACTGTCTTACCTAAATGTTTAAGACCAGTTACTGTTGTTGCTGTATGGGGTAAAGAACTGCAGTCTGAACCAGATTGCAGTAAATTAAATTTGCATTTAATTTGGAAATTTCTGTAAAAAGGATAAAATCATGCTAAACTCCTAACAGCCCAGATGTGTCTTTTTGTCATTGTGGTACAAAAAAACAAATAAAAATTGTTAGATTATTTTATAGATGTAATTATGTTCTAAAATACTCTGGCTACATAAATAGGATAGATCCATTAAAAAGTTTTTTTCCTCCTTCAGCATGTCATTGATTGTAGCATAGCAGGATCTGGTATAGGTGTCTTCTCTCCTCTGTGACTGTGTTCCTTTTTCCTCTTGGGGAGTGAGGGGAGATGAGTGTCATGGATATATGATCTGCCAGGTTTGTTTAACATAAGTAGACTTTAACAAAAGCAACCTATTATTTTACTGGATTATGGCCGAATCTTTGCTGCAGAAGCAATAGAGTTGAAAGAGTTCTGAAGTCTTTGCTTGCCTTGTCCTCAAAGTTTTAGAAAACTCTGTTCGTTTTAGAAGGTTTAGCAAGAGATACGAAGTTAAGACTATAGTAACCTGTTGAGTTAGAGATGGTAATAGTAATCTGTTGGCTTTATACCGAGCCAAGTGTGAAACTCTCATTTAAGCCCACTGATTTACTCCTGAGGATGACAATTATTTGTGACTGCAGTGGTTAGATTACATGAAGAGAAAAAAGGAGCATACAGAAAAGGAAATTTTATTCAACATTTCTGTATTTTCAGTGTTCTGGTCACCCATCCTTCATTGCCTTAGAGTATCACTTGCCTTTTTCTTTAATGGTATCAGCCTTTATCCTTTATATTTAGCTACATTTTGGCATAACATGTTAATTTACCACTTTCTTTTCAAGTTATCTAAGCATACATTAAAACACTGAGAATCTTTTTATTTTCAGACAAATTGGAGCTATACAGTGGTCCCAGTACTATGGTACAAAACTTTAAACATCTCTGAATCAAATTAAATGCATTTTTTACATTTATTTTTGCTTACATTGATATATAAGCTTTGTAAGCCTATGTTTTGGCAAGATACAAAATAGATTTAAAAAAAATGGTAACCAAATATTATTTTTTAATACTAAAAAGGTATATGGATTTCCAGTAAAAATACTGACTCATAAATCTAATAAAAGTAAATAACTTATCTGGATAAGTTCTCTGTGTTTTAAATTATTATTTTGAGAGGTTCATTCACAACTCTTATTTTATTGCTTTTAGTTGCTGATGCGTGGTCAAGATGAGTGGATTAGGAGAAAACTCCTTGGATAGCTTGACCAATGAGTCAAGGAAGCGCAAGCCATTGCCCTGTGATACACCAGGTGCAAGGTAGGTTTATATAGACTTCGCTCTTTTTTGTATTATGAGTTTTTAAAAACATTTTTCAATTTTTCATTGCGATTTAGAGTAAGTTCTAACTAATAATTTTGTTCAGTTGAAAACTTCTCTAGGCCAGCTTCTGTTGTGAAGATACAAAACTTTACTATTCTGTGTAGATATGTCAAAGCTGATGAACTATGCTCTATAATTAGACTCTTGCGGAAATCTTAATAGAGTGAACATGTAAGGAATCATTGTTTGAAGCTGTGATTGCAAGGCAAAAGAAGAAAAACTTCTTGCTTCACAGAAATTTCAAAGGCAGCATCTTATATCTGGTAATTGATTTGGCAAGCCTCATTTCAGGTGGTTATGGTCAGCACAGAATACTTTAATAGGTCGAACACTTTTTTTGACTTCCGTTTCTCCAGACTAGTTCTTTGCAAGCTCATCTCGAATTTTGGCATTCCATGCTGTCTCGCTGCCCCTCACTTAACTCTGTCAGAGATAGTTATCTGAGGGAATTGGTTTTCTGTCCCCTCCAACCTCATTGCTTTCCAACACATGTTAAGGGTTCTGTGTTATCCTTTCATGTTCTTGTTCCCACAGAGTATTAACCTTTATTAAATTTGTCTTCAGTTTCACCAGAATACCAGGTGTCACGTGTACTCGTATTTCTCCTTTTTATATAAGTCCCCACTGTTCCATGCTAATTACCTCCATCATGCAACAGATTGTGTATGAGATCCTCAGATTCTCCCAACGTATCCCAGTATCTCTTTGTGAGTGTCCTCCATTCCGATTTCTCTTTCCTTTTCTCCAGTGTCTGTCTGTCCAGTCAGGAATTCTGTTTTTCAGTTTGTCACCCTCGTTAGCTTTCTTTGTCTTTCAAGCCCCTGCTTTGTCACGTTCTTGTTTTCTCCAATGTTGGTCCATGCATATTTTCCTAACTTTCACTTGGTTTCTTCTCAAAGAATATTCATTCTTTTGATTCCCTCAGTGTGCCCATTCTTGCCCCTTTCCTTTCTCCTGAGTCCTCCTTTTCCTACTCTTGGCATACTCTGTGTATGACACTGTTCTCTCTGTTGATTTAGGCTGTAGACAGTGCCTTTACTCAGCACATGAATCTATGTAGGAAAAGGAATTTCAGAGAGAGACTTTATCCAGCAACATTATGTTGTCTGGGATTCTGATTTTCTTGGATGTTGAGATGGCATTTTTGTCCTGATGCCTAGAAATTTCTCTGAGGTATCACCTTCTGTAGTCATCTTGTTACAAGCAAACCAAAGGGGTTTCATAGAATGTTAAAATTCTATTTCATTTGTCTAATAAATTATAAACAGATCTAAAGTAACTTTTAAGGTTAAAATATACTTTCTGTATGAGTGTTACTGTTTTATAACAGGCAATTGCTATTTTCATTAAATTTAACAATAGAGTTATCAACAAGAGGATTTTTTGGATGAGTAACTTTCTCATATCCTCTTAAGATAAATTTGTACTTAAAATTCTTAAAAACCCCCTACAAAAACCAAACCAAACAACAATGTAACAACCCCCCCACACACACCCCTTCAGATTTATGTTTGCTGGAAGAATAACTACTACCTAGGTTTAATAGGTAGGTGTTACATAAAGTACATTAAAGTTCACAGAGTGAGCACAGCTTTTGTATATGACGGTATGCAAGTATATGAAATGATGTTTTTGGTTCCTAGTCTGACCTGCAGTGGCGAGAAGCGTCGGCGTGAGCAGGAAAGCAAATACATTGAAGAACTGGCTGAACTGATATCTGCTAATCTGAGTGACATTGACAATTTCAATGTCAAACCAGACAAATGTGCTATTTTAAAAGAAACGGTGAGACAGATTCGACAGATAAAAGAGCAAGGTACAGTTCCCTGCTAAGCCAAAATAATTAATTTCATTTTCTTGTGATTCCTTTTTCAAAGCAGTAGTTACTTGGGAAATTGAGTAGTGTTTTTCACAATAGCATGTAACTGAGAGTCTTCAGACTTCGACTTGAACCAAACCTTTAATATGCCTTAAATAATTTTCTGTTTAAAAGTAAGCAAGTATTTACCATCACTTTTTTAATTGGGAATCAGGGCTTTAAAACTTTGTATGGTCTTTCCTGTCAGTTTCCTGAAAACACTAGGAAAGCTTGAGGTAGTCCAGATGATACTGTACCATCAGCTGGTATGATATACCAAATACCCACTGGTATGAAGAATACGTACTGTTGTCTTTCACTTCAAGGGACTTCATGCTTAAAGGGACTTTAATGCTTTGACGTGAATTTCTTAAAAAACACCTAGATTCTTATGTGGCACACTTCCAATCACATATATTATTTTTACTGCTATTTTTTCCTATTATGTTTCTATGGACTTTGCTTTCTTTTCTTGTGCTGTTTAAGACATGCTTCCTAAAAGTATTGGACTCCAATATATTTAAAATGCATTCAGCTTGAGATCAAATAATTAGATAGTGCGGTTGACGGTATTGAGGATATAGTTAAGTCAACAAAGGAGAAAATAGCAGTGCATCAAGTTTTAGTAGTTTTTGTCAGCTAGTGTAAACGTTAGTGGTATAGTAATTTTTTTTTTTTAATGGACAAGTATATGCAAAACCTGTTTTTTTAAATGTATAGTGAGGGGTGTGTGTATATATATATAAAAAAGGGTTTGGTTTTTTGTTTGGTTTTTTTTTTTTTTTTAAACCCCTCCCTCCTTCCCCCC